TCCCGCTCTTTCTTTCTAGTAACTTTACTAATATGTACTATACATGCGAATGTATGGATAAATGAATGGATTTTTATTATAAGATATGTTCAGAACGGTTGCACGGTTCTTGTTGAAATTGGCCATAGATGTAGAATGGAAGAACATAAGTTACTAATTACGTTTTTTTAATACCGCACGGACGGAATCGCGGGCGACACGTAAGTAATATTCTATAGTAATCTACTCCCTCATTGAATTTAGTATGGAATCCTTACAACGTGTATGTGAATCCCAAGCATTGAGTTATGTCATTATGTTTAAAGTATTTAGCACATTGTGAGAACATATTTGTATCTTGTACGGTTTCACATTATTGAGGTATTCATTCACTTGTTTCAAACGACAGGATACAGGTCGATTTGTTATTATATGTAGTTTTACCATCTTGAGGGGATGGCTGATGGGTTAGAAAGAGACGGAAAAAATAAAAGATCTCACGAGATTCGCGCGGGATTAAAAAATTACTTAGTAAGTAACATATGTGTTCTTCCAGACTATGTTATATACATCTATGTCACATTTTAGCGAAATCCATACAGCCGTTATACACATTCCTTCTAACACCCACGCGTCTAACTATACATTTAAACTTTTGCATTTTTAGATTACTAGCTGTCTTCCTTGACTTTGTCCGCGTGGTATTAAAAAAAGTTTAGTAGCTTAAGTTCCACACTATGGCCTACATCTATGCCTTTCAACGTTATCCATGTCACCGTTCCGGAGATACCTTCTAACAAACACATTAAAAAAATGGAGACATTCATATTTTTTCATGTTTTCTTTGACCACATTTCGTACCAGTTTCTTTGCATAGTTGCGAACAACAGCGCACTCAAGTGCATCCACAAGTAAAACTTTCTATTATGAAATTGTACCAATATAATGCATATATGTTTTAATTAACAGTTTTTATATCAATTATCAAATGTTTATTTATTGAATAAAACTTAAAAACATAATATATTTAAGGTACGCGTCCATTGGCCAGCGTCGGACGCACTGCACACATGGCCCGCAACGGATTGCTTGTTGATAATTGCCGTCCGTGCGATGCGTCCGGTGCGGGATAATGGACGCGTATCTTTAAATATCACCTAATTATATCTGAAAACCGAAAAAATAAACGAATTTTTTTAACACAACACCTTGTTTGAATTTTAAAACTTCTCGCTCGACATATTTTTTTTAAAACGTCCTCCAACGAACGTGTTCATACATATAGTTTTAATATTCATAACTTGACCTCAGTGTATTTTTACATTTTTTCACGTAAAGCCACCTTGTATGCACATACTGGTGATGCATAATCTATTTTCATTGGAATAAATTATATTTTTTTAGGGATGCGTAAAAAAATCGCATAAGGCGATAGAAAATAGGTGTTAAAAATATAATTGTGTGCTCTTCCATATCATCATCAACCAGCCCTTATCCCTATCGAGGGTCGGCACAGTATGTACTACTCCTCCATACATCTCTATCAGCCGTCATATCCGAGTCTACCCCCTTCTTACGCATATCCTCTTTCACAGTCATTGTGTGCTCTTCCATATGTAAGACGTTTTTATATTAATACTCAATTTCCAAAATATTTCGTTTATAAACACTTTTTTCTTTAACTGTTGATTTCTGATACCAAAATCTCTGTTTAAAACATATTGTTATTTCTGTTTTGTCAAAGATAATGACAGGGACGACGATATGTTTTATATAAAAATTTTGGTCTCAGAAACCCACGATAATTAACCAAAACTTATAGCACAATAATTGTCGTACACAACACCGTCGCGAAGCCTATGTTCTTCCAGACTCTATTCTACATCTTTGTCAAATTTCACCGAAGTCCATTTAGCTGTTTTGCAGATACGGAACAACAAACATCTACTTATTCGCATTTATAATAATTAGATAATTTAATTTTATATCGAATACTTATAGATTTAAGTTCCGATTATGATTTAATATTTATTAGGATATTTAGTGGTCATCATCATCAGCTCACTATACGTCCCCACCGAGGGGCTCGCAGCCTACCTTAAGTTAAGAGTGATTAGGCCATAATCAACCACGCTGGCCAATTGCGGTTTGGTTGACTTCACATATGTCTTTGAATTTCTTCGCAGGTATGTGCAGGTTGCATGATGTTTTCCTTCACCGTAAGAACATCGGATAAATGTACATATTTAATTCGAAACACATTGGTACATGGCGGGATTCGAACCCAGGAATTACTACTATTTAGTGGTAATAAATCCTAACTTTTATGACTAGTTGATTAATATGACAAGCAATTATTATTATTTCCGCTACGCAACCTGAATACAAATAAGATATTACGCAAAGCCATTGGTAAAGGGATTGTCATTTGTGACGTAATGTAAGGTATGACATGCATTGTATATGATTTCCACTGTGAGATTAGTCGCGCGCCACCAGTTTTTAATAGAGTCGCGTGTTCTATTTCCTCTGGCCATGGTGCCCAAACAAAATGTCATAAGTGTGCGGTTAGCACGCGGTTATCAGCCAAGTGGAAAAGAGCATTAAGAGTACGGCATATTGAAATATGTTTGCGCATATTACTCTCTTTGTCCCCATTTGTTAGATATCTTACTTATGTTATAAATGCAAATGTTTAGATGGATGTATGGATGAAATGTGGCATACATACAGAACATAATCTAGAATACATAGGCTACTAATTATGTTTGGTTTTAATTCGCGCGAACGCAGTCACGGGCGACAGCTAGTAGTCAAACATAAGCGTTAGGGTATTGTTTTCTCTGGATATTTTTATTTGAATCAACATAAAACCTCTATCGTAGTGAACAACTTTCGGTTATGGTTCGTGGAATCATTATATTTTGGATTTAATCCAACGCCATGTTGTGGTCTCATGCATCATTTTCAGCCTAAGTTTTGGGGACAATTTATCATTATTATATATCTTAATGAAAGTAGAAAAAATGGTAGACATGCTTAACAGAATAACGATGATCTAGATCAGTCTTTTCCAAAGTGGGCGATAACGCCCCCTTGTGGGCGCTGCAGGTCTCAAGTTGCGGGTTATAGTAAAAGTTTCCTTTAGCATTCTCCGTTAATACACATATATAGGACACAAGAATTAATTAATTTAATTTGAAGTTATTGTGGTTTTTAAATATGTGAAAATATGGGGGCGCTAAAAAATATTTGTTTTCAGTGGCAGTAGACAAAATAAGTTTGGGAACCACTGATCTAGATCGAGAGTTCAAGTTTAAGGATGTAGAACGTCTTTTTACTTACTAATTAACTTAATACAAGAATGTTTATAGTTTAGTAAATAAACGTTTGGATGCTTCAAGCCGCGGTCACAAGCGCTCTTTGTACAGTGGATCAAGGACGTTGTATTTTCATCAGTTGTGTACACTCATTTACACAAATGGTTAACGTATTATTAATTAGTCCACGTGTTCACTTTTCCACATAATCGTACGTTGTATTATTGTGTGGCCATATACCAAAAAATATGCCAAAAATTTATACAATAAACTAAGTGAAATATTTTTTATTCTATGCTCTTACACAATAATATTATTTTTATTGTAAAAAGAGCAAACCGCTTATTGTATTCGCCAAAATAGCCAAGCGAATATTGCCATCTACTGGCAATATTCGCTTGGCTATTTTTTTTGCATATTCGACCGTAAAACCGACCGTTTTTTTCTAATAATTATTTTCTATAATATAATATTTCATCAACCAGCCCTTATCCCTTCGGAAGGTTGGCACAGCATGAACTACTTCTCCATACATCTATATCGGCCATCATATCTAAATCCACCCCCTAAATAACATATCCTCTTTTACACAATCCATCCATACTTTCTTAGTCTTCCTTTGGAGCCATATTATAACATTGTGATATTTGATAACCCAAATAATTTATCTCTGCATAAATCTTGTTTTATGCAACTTAAGCGGTCTAGTAGAGCCGCCATCTCGAGTCGGCTGTTACCCTTTGATGTTTATACCAAAGGCACTTGTCATCTAATGCGACGTTATCCATCTTGAAGGAGAAAGGAACCTTAAGGTGTTTTGAATTAAGGTTTAAAATACTCTGACAATATTATGCATAAGGAAAAGAGTTTTTCAGTTTGTTTGTTTCAAGTCTACAAAAGCTTCTATTTATATTAAAATAGTATATAGAGGTAATGTAAATTAAGTAAATAATATAACTACTTCCTTTCTTCATGGAAATAATAAATCCATATATACAATACGTTACATACATATATTTTACACAAACTATTAGCTGGAATAAACGCAGCCTTGGGTAGAGACGGACAGACAGACGGACATATTTTTTTATTATGATTCAATAAGACATTTTGTTCTATGTTATATAAAGACACACCAATTTTATTATATTTATTGATTATATAGTTAACGTAATTACATTTTATGTAATTAAAAACTAAATATACGGTACATAATGTTAAATATACACGGAAAGTTTATAAATAAACACATAGAAGAAAATAATAACTCATCGTTATGAGCTAACAGCTACGACATTCGATAGCTATTATATTGATTAATTAAAGACTCTTATATACTAGTGCTGGTCTATTATATAATTATATTTACATAAGAAATATATAACACGTAAATTTATGAATGGAATAGTTGATATGTAATTTGTTGACGGCATATCATTTGGATAGTACACGAGATCATGTAGACGAGTTTTTACAATTTACCTAGGCTGATTACAAATGAAGAGCGACGGTGGTTCAGGGGTCGAGCTTGCAACCTGCAGGTCGAATCGCACTTGGCTAGCGTGGTTGACTATGGCCTAATCACCCTTAACTTAGGGTAGTCTCCGAGCCCCTCGGGGACTTATAGTGAGCTGATGATGATGAATTACAAATGCCGTTTACGATTTGACTGACCGAATACAATATGTTTATTTTTCACAGCGGCGATACATGGCACGGAGTGATGGCCAGCATTGGGAGGAAGATGAACTGCTGTACTCCAGCCGCGACAGCGATGACAGTCCCATACTTTCCTACAGGTTAATTGTCTTAAACCTTTTTCCATTAAACCATTAGCCGCACCTTTTATATCCAGCATATTGATATAATACTTAAGCGCAGCATATGTTTGGCACGATTTGTTACGTAGAAAACAAAAATTACAGCACGATGTAACGGACTACGACTGGATAAGACGATGAATCGAATAACACCTTACTTGACAAAATCGGTTTAGATGTTTCGACTCTGTGACGTCACAAAGGAGTTACATACATACAAACATTCTACTCTTGTTAAACGAATAAAAATACATTGAAAATACAACGCAATTTGCCATTTAGTTTTGGTTTTATGTTATGTATATCTGCATAATAGTTTGCTGGATCAAACCAATACTCATACCAAGTTTATACCAATATCTGGTTCGATTCGGTACCGGTTCAATTCGGTTTGGTACAACGGTGTTTGTAATACGTATATGAATGCAATGAATGTTTCATTGTAATTTATTATCTTCATATCGCGAGGTCACAACCGTGACATTGAACTTAGTATATTAATGTATGTTACTAACACGGGGTTTCTGAGACCAAAATATTTTTATAAAACATATCGGCATCATTATATTAAGCAAAACAGAGATAACAATATTTTATAAAAGTTTTGTGTGTCAGAAACCCATAATAAGGACATAATTATCAAAATTAGATCCACCATAAATCCAATAGAAATTTTGTAGATTTAAAAAAAAAGTTATTGTTCCGTTTGTGTCCAGACATGAGAAATATCGTCGGTACTCGTCACACGTACGCGAGGGCAAGACGGAGGAAAGAGAAAGAAGATCGACATTCAGCGTGCTCGCAAAATTCTTCCTGTTCAGTACCGCAATGATATTATTCTGTGTACTGCTCTATATACCTGTATATAATAAGGCCAATGACCAGGTTCTTAAACGTAAGTTACACAAATATATTTTAAAGTATATAAAGGTCAACGCTTATTTGACACAAACTGTATAATCGTCTTTATCTGACTAATATTATAAATGCGAATGTTTGCATGGACGACGATGGACGTATGTAACTAGAAGGTATTTCCAGCATGGATTTAGCTGAAATTTGGCATAAATGTAGAGTTGGAATAATTGGGCTATTATTTTTTTTTTATTATCGGCTCAGACGGTGTCGCGGGCGACAGTTAGTGTTACAAAAAAAATAACCCAGCGCGCAAAAGGTTAAAACAAGTGACATAGATTTCTAAATTAATTGATGTTCAAAGGTCATTTGACCTTTGACTTTTAAATGAACTTTGATTTATTTATCTATCGATAATAAGACGTATTTCAAACCTTCAAATAATATTAATTTCGATGTTTAATTTTTAAATAATAAGATTAAGGTGCATCTTTCAGCCGCTGTAGCTGGCTGGTCAATAAATACAAATAGAGATACAAAAATATATGTACAGCCAGAAAATGTAACAACGATACACGAACCAAAAGACATCTGTCCAAAAAGTAATAGAAAAGAAAAAAATAAACTATTCCTACTAATATTTGTTTGTTCGTCAACTTCAAATTTCGAACAGAGAGTTGCCATTAGAGAGACGTGGGGAAATTATAAAAATTATCTCAAATTATCTAGAATATTCCACGCGGTTAAAGAAAAGTACAAAAATTATAATTCAAGTATCGATATTGAAACAGATAGTACTAATGTTAGTGTTAATTTAGATAGGATACAAAGAGACATATCTGGTTTTGGTCAGTTATTACCGGAATTAGCTAAAGCATTGCAAAACAATATGGCGAAAGCAACAGAACCGGCTGAAGAGAAACGTTTCGAAGATGAAAAAGAAGATGATAAAATGTTGCCAGAATTCGATATGAATAAAGTTTTAGGCGATCAAGAAGATGATAATGATTTTGATTACGAATACGGCAGTAATATTATGAAAATACCACCGAAAGGTTACGAAGATTCCCCAGATTTAGGGAGAATTATGTCTCTATTGAAACATATAAAAACTTTTCCTAAATTTGAACCTGAAATAGATAATAGTGATCCAGATTTTAAATTAGTATTTCTATTAGGATTACCACCGAATGATAACAACACAGATGTTCAAGAGAAGATCGAAACTGAAGTGGAAACATATGGAGATATAATTCAAGAAGGTTTTATTGATTCCTACAATAATTTAACTTTAAAATCTATAATGATGTTAAAATGGGTTACTAATAATTGCAATGAAAGTGGTGAGTACACACAAGTTAATAATTATAATAAGTCACATAGTGTAGGTTAAAAAAAGACCCATAATTTATTTCCAAAACTTTGTTATTAATGTTAAAACTTACTCAGGTTAATAGTTGGTTTGTAAATCTTACTAATATTATAAATATTGAGATGGATGGATGTTTGTTAGAAGGTATCTCTAGAACGGCTACAGAGATCCATAAGGGCTATCTGCAAGGTTTTTTTAATACCGTGCGGACAGTCGCGGGCGGTAGCTAGTGATAACATAAATCTTTATCTATATTTCCAGTCCGTTACATATTGAAGACCGATGATGATATGTACATAAACGTGCCAAATCTGGTAACGAACTTACGTTCCCGCGCAAAGACGTTCGATGACAACGCTAAAGGGAACAGCAAAGAGTATTTGCTTATAGGAGACCTAATCTGTGGAGCTAGACCTGTACAGGATACAAAGAGCAAATGGTAAGTGGTTACAGTATAGTCTGATAAATTTATCTGACCCGGTGGATATAAGTGAAATTACTAAAAAATTGTGTAAAATTTTAAGTAAAGCGTCAAAAGATTTAATTCCAACTGTAAGCTGTCGTAAACAAAATAAGTAAAAAGTTATTAGTTAAGTAATAAATGGCGATTTTGTTCTGCTATGCATAACCTAAAAACGCTACAAATTAACGTATCTGTCCAGTTATCTTACGAATATTATAAAAGCAAATGAATAGAATGGATGGATGTTTGTTAGAAGGTATCTTCAGAAGTATTCAATCTCATTAAAATTGGCATAGATATAGAACATAGTCTGTAAAAACTCATAGGTTTCTTATCAGTGTTCGTTGAATACCGCGTGGATGGCGTCGTAGGCGACAGGTAGTGTATAAATATTTATGCAGCTGAGTGTACACTTGTACAGGTACAGTCCGCGCTACATGTACCCGGGGCGCGTGTACCCGCGGTACTTGTCGGGTACAGGCTACGCTCTGTCAGCGCCCGCAGCACGCGCGCTGTATGCGGCCGCGCTCACCACCACGTACTTCCATCTAGAAGACATCTACATCACTGGTGAGTCACCACACTATCTCTTGTACTCATTATGTTGGATAAACTGGTATTTTACATAGAATCTAGAGAAATAACGGAATAATTTTGGACTAATTTTTGAAAAATAAAGACATGAAGAGGTTTTCATAGTAAAATAGCCGTATTTTTACCTTTAATTTTCACTAACATACGTAAAGACAAACTCGCACTAGTGGAAAAAGGTAGAATATGAATTCTAGCTAATCTTACTAATATTATAAATTCAAAAGTTTAGATGTATGTTTGAAGGTATCTCTGTAGTATAGTATTGTAGTAGTATAGTCTGGAAGAACACACAGACATCTCATTCATTCCTTTTTTCAATACTGCGCGGACGTAGTCGCGTGCGACAGCTACTATTATAAAACAGTGAAAACTCTTTGATATAGGTATGTGCGCGCTCCGTTCGAATCCCCGCGTAGTAGCGCGCGACGAGGCGGGGTTCTCGTACGCGCCGGTGCGAGCGCCCGCCGCCGCCTGCGCCGCGCATGCGCGCATCTCCGCGCACCGCGTGCCGCCGCACCGCATGCGCGCGCTGCACCGCACACTGCTGCAGCCCCTCGCTGCTGACAGGTAACTCACCTCTGATCACGAATCATCATCGATCTGCCCTTATCCCTATCGGTGGTCGGCACAGTATGTACTACTCCATACATCTCTATCAGCCGTCATATCCGAATTCACCCCTTCCTACGCATATCCTCTTTCACACACTCTTTTTTGGTCTCCTCTACCATTAGCTCTGATCACGAATACCCACTAAATACTACCTCTAATAGCCCCTCCGAGTATAGAGATTGATGTAACTTACATAAAAATACTTTATTAAAGTACATATACTTAGGTCCACAATTTATACAATAAATAAAATTATAGTGTCTGTATATCTAAAACAAATATTTCATCAAAATGTTGTCTTGCTTTATTTATAACAAAAAAAAATCAGATTTACAAAATTTATCACTTACGATAGTTTACGTAGGAGCCATCGATTGACAGGTAATAAAAATTTTTACAAAAGTACATTTTGTATTCGAACATTTTTTTTTTACTAAAATTCATGGTTCCCACGTAAATAATCGTAACCGACACTTTTTAATTTACACTATCATAAGCTTTTTTTTTTAACTTAATCATCTAAATATCTAGATCATATTTATAGATATAGATCATATTTGTTACTTATTGGAAATTAGAAAAAAAAATTGTTTAACATTTTTTTACGATTTTCAGATGCGAAAGAAAACAATTAGCACAGGTAAGAAATGATATTATTCATAGAAAATTATCAACAACATCAGGAAATATCCCGATGTCTGTCAGTACATATTTATTTATTGTTATTATCTGTTACTTCCTATGATAAATATTTTAACAGTTATTTTTAACTTAAAAAATATATACATTTCATATTATCAGTGCTCACAGAATAATAAATATATTATTTAGGTATAAAATTACGCAATCAAAGTCGTTTAAATTATTTTTCACTTGAACAACTGTTTGTTTTAACAATAATTTTTAGCAGTATCCGGGAGGTACTAGAAGGTTTTTTTGTCTAAGTAGGAGTAGAATGGGGTCCAATGAAGTAGTGTACATAATATATTGATAGTAAATAATGCTTTAGGTGAAGCAAGCGTCGTCAGCCGGGCCAACTCGCGCTGCGCCAAACAATAAGAAGCAACGACGCTTCTATAAGACGCCACCGAAATGCAAATAATACGAAGATAGAGAGAACATAACTCTCACACGACGCTACGAAGAGGATATAACAGGCCTTAGGTCACGTACACACAATGCGGTCAGACGGACGAGGTAAATGCCTAATAGCAACCATAATCTAAAAGTTCTTGTAATCTCTAAGTAGCACTAAACTGTGAAACTTAGTACAGTTAAAAAAAACTATAAAAATTCAGTTGACTGCGTTCTGGCTAACCGTTTTATGTGTATGGGCCCTTAATTCTCCTCAAAACCGTCACCAAATGACAATAAATTAAACCATAAAGCTACGAAGTAATTCACAAGTTTAAAAAATCAGTCACATGTGAAACATCAAATCCATACAAAAAGCGTTGTATTTGTGCCAATATACGTAAAGTAGTACGCACCAATCCATCATCATAGTCATTCTAATCTTACAAAATAATCTTTCTCTAGTTATTAGGTTTTATAAATCCTTCGGGGTACCTCCCGGAGATATTGCGTTAAAAAAAATCATTAAAAAAATTATAACAATTTTAAAAATTTTTAATATTTCGCACCCCTAGATGAATACTTTTTTAATTCGTAAAAATCGAAATTGAACTTACAAACTTTGCAAATTCCCGTATCAAATACGATATTAAAAAAAATCAGATTTTTAATGATAAAAAAAAAAATATTGAACTAAAAATATAAATTGAAAAAAATGTATTATTTTTAGGGTTCCGTACCTCATAGAAAAAAAACGGAAGCCTTATAGGATCACTTTGTTTATATCTTTAATAAATATTTAAAAATCAGTCTCTCAATTACTGAAAAAACATGTTTTTTTGAGTTACCGCAGTGTTCATTTAGGGGTGTGATTTATTAGTAATTTTCTTGAACTAGTCGAACAATACAATGAATCTCAAATCGCAGCTTATTTCAAAATAAGGTATTCGTTTATCAATATCTCTATTATGTACAAAATAATATAAGTATATAGATATAGAATGAATAGAGGTCGAATCTCGAAGAAATATCATGCGAAAAGAGTCGTATCTGATATAGGTCCCCTCAAGTGCAAATGTACAATCGCGTTCATTATAATTAAGCAGTTTTTTTGTTAGTAAAATGTCTAAATATATTGAATAAAAAGTTTTTCGAATCGATTGTACCCAATGAGTTTTAAGGTCAGCGCTTTCGTGAATACGCCTATACGAGATGTAACTCTTTACGTTGTGTGAGAATGTAAGCTATTGTGATAGTAATCCTGCCATTGGAAGCGTTGAAAACGGTCGTATATCTGTCTTAATATATACATGCTATGTTGATACCGTTATATATATTTGAGAGCAAAATTATATATGGTCGATTATATATTAATTTAAAAAATATCCTCGTAATCTTTGTTTATTGTTTCGTAGTTATTTAAAATTCATCGTTTGTTTGAAAATATTCATTATATTACTATCTTAATTTTATATATTTTTATTAAAATAATAAGCCAAAAAAAAAACTCAGCCGTTAATAAGTAAAAATCTTTTATAGGTCTTATTTTACGTAATCATTTTTATTTGTACCTCAATTCTTAATTTTTTTATACATTTATTTCAATCGTTTTTTATCATTTTTTCCTCCATTGCATATACAGGATGTATCCCTAAATTATTATAAATATTGTTATAACAGCTTTTTTATGTTTTCCTTCACGGTTTTTTATTAGAACTATATTAAGACAAAGTTTAATATACAGTGGAAACTTACTGTAACATTCAGTATCTCGAGCAGTATATATTTGGACAGTACAATAGCCTAAATAGGTATAAATAGGTTACGAATGGGGTGCCTTTAGAAAGAAATATATAAGATAGTATGCATTAATTTATCTGCTGAGTACATAAACTAAATATATAGAAGTTTCTAAAGTAAATAACGTTTCCAGAATATATTGCTTCTAGTTCACATTAAAATGGATTGTTTAAATCCGATGGCAGTTGTTGACTGTGGGTTTTCATTGATTAAATATCTGTACACAAACATATTGTCATCTCTCTGCTTTTCGTCGAAACAACAATAATGTATTTGTACATGTTTTACAGCAGTGGAAACCTACGATGAGATATTTACAGTTTAGTAGATCTCTCACTATATTTAAGAATCTTTTTGGTTTTTTTTACGTTTTTTTTTATTATCGTTTTCGTTATTTTTAATCTCATTTTAAGCACATTTTTATGTTTATCATACTTTTTTTTCGTTCCCAGATGAATAAACGCGAGGGAAGACTGTATATTATTTATAAATACCTGCGTTTGCTCGTCACACATAGCTCATGTTGAGGACTGAGGACTAACGCAATATTTATCATCGACTAAAAGTTGGTTTCTGAGACCAAAATCTCTGTATACAGAGATAACAATATGTTTTACACGGGGATATCAGTCTCAGAAATTCACGGTTACACATTGTTACACAAAATACTGACTGACTTTATAATTACGTCAGAATAAGGCATTATTAACGTTGGTCCTTCGAGCCAGATCAAAATCTAGATCTCAGTTTGCACCTCAGTGAATTCGCTTTGTATATTTTAAGCTATGTCTTAGATAATTTAATGTACGCGTCCATTAGCCGCACCGGACGTAACGCACGCACGGACCGCAACGGATTTTAGTTAACATAGCGCTGCGTCCGTCATCCGCGCCGACCGCATCGAAACACGGGAATTATCAACAAGCAATCCGTTGTGGGTCGTATGTGCATTGCATCCGGCTCGGAACAATGGAAACGTACCTTTATTCATAATAAATAGTTTCATACATCACCGATTTAAATAATTTGATATAAAAATACGATAAAATCATAAAATTAATCAATTTAATATACAGTAAAACAATAGAAGTTTCCTATTTTAGTAAAATTATGGTTCAATTATACTTAATTCCATTTTTTAATATCCACATGTCATTAGTAAAATGATTTTTTTTTTTATTATAATACTAAAAAGTTACAAAATCGTCGTACATCCATTTATTTAGATTTTTAAATTAATTATTAGCCTTATATATTTTTGACAAAAAATTATTAAGTTTTTAAAAAATACACGGTAGTATAATTTTTTATTATTTTATATTTGATTTTTTTTCTAAATAATAATAAAAACTATTATCATGCAATGAATTGTAAAAATAGATGTTTTTTAATATTTTTTTTACAATAACAAAACTATTTAAAAAATTATTTTTTAATTTTTTTTATTTTTTATTCATAATTCCCGCGCATAAATCACTATACAAATTATATTATGAACATATAAAATTTATTTGCGAAATGTTTATAAATTTTTAATAAAAATAATATTTTTATTGGTTGTCATTAAATTTTTATTTTATAGTTTTTTTGTGCAATGATATTATTAATAATTTTCAAGTATTTTTTGCGATTTTTTTTATGTTTTCAATGTTATTAGTGTTTTATATTAGAATAACTGTAATTTTTATTTTGATGAATTTTCTCGATGTATTTTTTAGGAAACTAGATTACTTTTTAAATAGCTTTTTTTTATCTTAGTATTTAGAATCTCCATAATAATTGCGATGTTAGAAATTAATAATAATAATGGAATAATTGTTGTTTTTATTTCCAAATAATTTTAAAAGTATAATTAAGAGTAATTTGTTGGTAAATGTATTAAATAGGAATAAAAAATCGTGGTAATCTGACTTTAAAAGTTTTATGAATTTTTTTGCAAGCTTAAAAAATTCTTGTTTTTTTTTTAATATTTACGAAATTATGGTTATCCTTTCTTAAAAAACTATACACAAATCAGTTGAAAATATGTTCTAAAATAATAATTAAAACTATGTCAGTTTTAATTTTAAACTTTATAAGATCAGCTAGAAAAACTAAAAAAAAACTTTTATTAATTTTTTACCATGCAGTATTAATTTTTTTTCCTTTATCTGTGAAAAATATGTAATTTTTTTATTGTTTATACCGCGTTATATTATATTTATATTATTTACACAAATTGTAATCATTTTTAAAGTTTTGATTTTATTTGAAATCATTTTTTTTTAAATTTTTTTTATCAAATTATTTACTTAAAATATATACATTTGTAAGCAGTTTTGTATAAAAACTTGTGATGTAAGAAAAGACAGATTGCCATAATTGTATCCAATGCTTTGTGTTTATGTTAATAAAAATTGCATGCAGAATCTACACTAAGGGTGTCTCGTAGTGACCAATTAACTATCAATACAGCAGTTAATGTTTTAGTGTATTGAAAAAAAACCTTTATAAACTTTAGTTTAAGTAAATCAAAATAATTTTATGACCTACAAGGTCGCCGCCTTGATCAAGTATTACACGGTCACAATAACATGACACCTCCGCCTTCGTCTCGATTCACCGCGAATTCCCGTGGTAAAACTTTTTTTTTCTTTACATTTCAAATTGCTTAAGTATTTGGTGTGAGATATCATGTTATTGTGTTCGGATAGTAGATGTTATGTTACATGCCATTTAATTATAAAATACACAGTGGAAACCGAAGGCTAATATTTTATTAAGTTCTCTAAAATTGCGACATCACAATTTATTTCTTACAACTTTATAAAGTATTAGATTTTTTCTACTTTTATGATCATTATTTTCAATAATAATTTTTGATTGGCCTCCTATAAAAGAGACATATGATAGAGGTAGGAGTGAGGGCAAGGGAGGGACAAATTGTCAGATGTAGCTTAGTTGCAGATTTGACATGGAGTCGAAAAATCTAGAATATTCTCAGCTTCCAAAACATAGAATGTTTAATAAATGTTACCTAAATGGAAAAAAAAATATTTTATATAGTAATTTGGAATTGGTTGAAAAGAAAATGGAGTATATATTATAAACATAAATGAATATTGTAAATAGTTGAGCTTCGGTGGTCCAGATGTGAAAGTGCCTCGTAGTCAGCATTTTACTGTTTGTTTCTAATAATTTTATTAACATCTTGTTACACGTAAAATCTTTTGTGTAAATATTATAAATAATTCAAATATTAAATATTGAAAATCACACGTAATTTACATTTGATAGATTGAATCGTTCAAATTTTAATTTTTAATATTTTTTTATGAGTAAAATATAAATTTATAATAATATAAATATTATGCATCGAAATAAATATATTCCGTAAATTTTATATACGAAATAATTTTATTGTAAATTCTTTTATATTTAAAACATGAAATAATAATAATTCTATTAAAAATTTACAGTTCCATATAAACATATGTAAATGGATTTCTTAATTTCGTACTGAAAACATTCTTAAATATACCAATAATATGTATTTAACAATAATACTAAATTATTAATATAGTTATTGTAAAATTAATCGAATAAATTATTAAAATTGTTAATTATCCCATGTAACTAATTTGTATTATAAAATTTTTATTAAACGTTACGATTTCATAAGAAATATTTATCACAAAACAAAAATAGCTTGGCCTTTGATATCTCCCTACAACGCATAGTGTTCCGATATGTGATGATTTTTTTATAAAATAAATTTGGAAATTTAACTATTTGTTTTCTTTATAACCTCAAAAATAAATATTAATACATTCTAAGCTACAACATAACTCACGCTCACACTAGAGAAATAAACAATCTTAATAATATTATAAAAACCAACATATCAAGAAGCTCTTGCTAAACAGTTGGATTAAGGTCACGATACAAAAGGCAGTAATCCTAGAAACCGCACGCATCGTGAGAAAGTTCCTGTCTCTGCAGCCCTGACCACTGGTTGTTTGAGTCATGGGACTCCGCAGCCGGTGGTGCTCTATTTTTAATATAATATATTTTGTATAATTTATTACTTTTAAAATGTAATATATTAAAAATAAGTTTAATAAATGAATAAGTATAATTACGAATGTTTAGATGGATGTAGAAGACAGTCTGAAAGAACATATACGCTACTAATTTTCTTCTAATTCCACGCGACGAAGTCACGAGCGACGGCTAGTAGTGAAATAAAAGATGGCGTCTAGTGAACAATTTTATTACATAAATTTTACAGAAGTCTTAATTCCATATTTTAACCAAATATTTCTCCAAAATTATCTCCAACAATTACCGAAGTTTAAACTGTTTAAGTGTGAAACGCTTATGCGTTACAAGTTACAACCATAATTGCAAATTAGCGAATTGATGAAATAACGCGCGAGCAAAGACGCGCGCCAAAAGAAGCATTCCCTTTCGAAAACATTGAGCAACGTAAGGTCACGTGACAGATAGTTCGCCGTCTGCTTATCTAAAACAAAACACATAATTTACAAGTTGTAAAATTAAAAAGACTACGTAATTAATTCAGAAATGTTATAAAAATGACTTACTATTAGGATTTAAACGGAACTTTGGCAGAGCGACGACGTCGGCGAAAGTTAACGACGAACAAAGGTTGAGGCCGTTGGAGGCGTGCAGGTTTGTAGTCAAACGGATCAAAGCTGAAAATATCACAATAGTTTTTAATTCTGTCATTAATCAGGCTTTCAGAGTTCCTACGCGAATAGAGAAGCTTAGTGCTAAAAAACTTTTATTATTAAGTAATAGGTTTTTTAAATTCAATTTGTTCAATATCACTATATTTTAAAACTTAGAAAAGAAAAGATAGGACTTAAACAATTTTAGTAAAACGACATATAAGTATATTGTAAACTGACGATAAGTCCCCTGTATCCTGTAGCTGAACTGTCGGTCCTCCTGCAGCGAGGCATGCTGGATGGTGAGCCGGTTGGATTCGAAGTCCAGGTTGGGGCAGTCCAGAGACAGAACTGCCGTCTTACTTGACAAGTTTATACTGAAATAATGAAATATAAAGAAAAATACGATTCTCGTGTAGATTTTATGTGGTAAATATACTTCGGTATTTTATATCACGTACTTTTGATGAGTATTTTTTAATAGAAAATTTTAGAAAATCTAGATTTTGTATTTTATACCAAACCTCAATATACTTACAAGAATTCTGAGACTCTGCATCTGTTGTGATTGCTGACGACGAGGTTGTAGTCGATGTAAGTAGCGTTGAAGTAGGGTGCGTGGAATGGTAGGGACTGTACAGTATAGCGGGCGGGGATACGACCCGGCACGTTGGGGTTGCAGCGCGAGTTGGCCGCTAGGTTGCGCCCTATGCACGCCAGGTCAGACAGGGCGCATGGCCGCACCACCTGGCACGCTGAGAATATTCCAAGCTTATACAGATTTTACGGCAACAAATTAATATTAAAAATATAATAGAATTTAGAGAAAATTAAAGATGGCAATTATTCTTTATTAAATAACTCACCCCCGAGGCTGATGAGGAGCGTAAATATGAAAACCTTCAGCATCTCGACAACTTTGCAACGTCCGGAGCAAGCAATCGCTGTGACGGCTCTATCCAATCGCATGAATATTTGCTTACAATTTATGTCTTTAATTCTTATGAAAAGAGCAATTAATTTTATTTGTACAACTGAACAAATATGTATTGACGTGTATTCGTTACATACAAATATGTCTGGTTCTTTTTGTCCGTTGAAAATGTCTTAATTTCGCGAAACAAATGACACAATTGCGCAATTCTGTTGCATTTACAAATACATAAAACATCTTTATTCATAAAATTATAAAATAATTTTTAATAATACTGCGTAGCTATTATTTTAGCATTTTATGTCTGTACAGTATTGACTTTACATTATGTTTTTTACATATTGTTTGTTATAAAAAACAATGGCAATAAGAAATAATTATATTTTAAACGAATTAAACAATACTTTTGTTAAATAAAAAATTAAGCATCTTTTGTTTGAATTCGTTGTTCTATCTCGGGTTTACATTGTCGACTATTTTTTATCAAAGAGAATGTAAAAACACAAATTATAATAAACTTTTAGTAATTGTTGTTTTTATCTGTACTAATATTATAAAGCGGAAGAGTTTGTTTGTTTGAAAAATTCTTTTTTTGTTGGATAGTCCATGTATAGAAGAAGGCTATAATATAACATTAAGCGGCGACCAATAGTTTTTTTTTAAATTCCCCGCTGACGGAGTCGCGGGCGACAGCCAGTATTGGATATAAAATATTACTTCTTACTAGTCTTTTCTTGAGTCGTTAGGTTTAAAATCTATGGATTTGTTAAATTATTCAAACTTTCGTGAGACGTTATACTAAACTGATATATAAACACGGCTAAACACTCACGTATATACGTCCGGTGGCGGCACCGACTAGTTTCGAGCACATCGGGGGCCCTTCATCAGGATGAGTGGTACTGGTATCATTTCGCGGACGCGGCCCGTCGCTCAAGTGAGCGTATCAGTTTATGGATTTGTTGTATGATATAAATAAATAAACAAAAATGGCTTAAAAATCATTTTCTTTTATTAATAACTATCGTACATTAATTATATTCAAATAATATTAATCGTTTTTAATTTAAATACAAAGAAAGGGGTAATATTATGACGCGGCTCGCACACAAACAAGCACACATATTTATATAAATGCGATATAAATGTGGGGAAGCCGGATACATCGCTTTTACAATAAATACAAATATACAATAAAAGAAAAAATAATTGTGATGAATAAGAAACATAAAATTACAAAATTTGTAACTACCTTCATATTAAATACTTTCATCGCAAAATTTAATAATTTCATTTAGTTGAATTATTTGAATGTTTTCTTGTTAAAATTATACTTAAAAAAAAAACTATTATTTCTTAAGGAATTTTTTAAATACAGTTAAACCGGGATAAGCTGGAATTCAAGAGAGCGCGATATTTTTTTATAAAGTTCTCTGTAACGCGAGTTTCTCGCTTATGAAGGTCTTCGAGACCTGACAATGACTGTCTTAAACGGTATCTCTTTTATCCAGGTTCGACTATATATCATCTTACACATAATGTGCAAGTATACGTAAATTTAAACTAAATTTCAATGTTAGATTTTTTTAATTTGGATTTAGAGCAAACTATTATTGTGAAAATAAGAGTCAAGTATTCATTTTGCATCTTTAGTTTTTAACTTTTTAAATTATGAATACTAGAGACAATAATGAAATAGATAGGTCTATGTATAATCCTAAAAAAAAAACTGGAAAGTCTCAGATGTTTTGTTTTGTGATCGGAAATGTAATTTTGTAGATTTTTTGTCAGATTGAAATAAAATTGAATAGATAAGAGAAAATGATATAAGAAAATAGTTTCTTTCTTTACTTTAAGACTGATTTTAGATAAATTTCCCCACAATATGAGATTCAAGAACTTTTCAAAACAAACTACCTTCATTTAATAAAAGAAAAACTCATAATTTTCATTAAAGACTCAAAAACAGAACTGATATGGGCAAATCTTTGGCCTGCGTGATACATTTTTCAATAGACAGGACAACGAAATGAGACGAAATATTTTCCTTTATTAAATTAAAGCTTTTACATTTTCTCGTGCAATGTCGCTTCTGTGTTTTATAACTCTGTATCCCCTTCATACAAATATATACATTGAATATAAATGTAGATTTTGTCAGCACTGACATATGTATACACATTTTGTCGTCTCTGTTTTTACATAGAGAATAGAAAGGGATGACAATATATAAGTGCAGTCAAAATCTACAAAACACTTCGTATTGGAAGAGTATTAGTCACTGACATCTATAAATGGACTGGCTATAAGACGTTGGATTTTGTGCTTATTTGATTTTCGGCATTTTGTCACTGATGGTAGAGATTTGTAGCGTTGGTTCGAACTAATAATATAGAATTAACTGTCAAGTAACATCAACCACGATTAAATTTGAACGAAACAAAAATAATTTCCGAGCAATCGCCTATCCATTTATAGATATCAGTGTAATTAGTACAGTTAATATTTACCTTCCAATCACAGGCATATAAAATAAGCAAAGACTTAAGCGATCATTAGACACGACGTAATTAAAATACAAAACATTGCATTAAGCAGCCTAACAAATACCGAATAACAGTTGCGTTAAAAACCATTAAAAGAAAACATCAAATAACAAATCGGACCTAAACAGACAGAAACGCGTACAATGTACATATAACGAAACATGTTTCCATACAAGATACATGAGAACGCAACTAGTAACACTTTTTTTTTGGCATAAAGGCACAAACGCATACCTCCTAAGTCGCGCGTCATTTTGACACATGCCAACTGTCACAATGACATATGTCACGTATGACGCGTGTCAAATTGACGCGGTTGTCCGCAGTGCATACAAATAGTCAACATTGAACGCAATGACAAAGTTACTTCTACCCTCAGAATAAGTCACATAATAAAAAAATGACTTATTTGAAACTACAGCTATGAAAATATATTTAGAAAACATATCGAACGGTATCTAGCTCTTAAGAAATTATCAGTAAAATCTATTTATTTTTTTACAGAACTATCGTGAATATGAAAAAATGTTTCAATATTTATAAAAATGTAGTTTTCTAGTTGACCTACATATTTACAAAAACACACAACAGTCACGCACACACACAAACAGGAGCTTGACATCTAGTTAAATTTATTGACCTCCAATGGGACAAATTCAAAAAACACACACTGACCAGTTTTACAAGCACCTGTCTTTATGTATGTGTATGTGTTTTTGAAATACATAGGTGACTAAGTTTTGTTCATTTGTCATGTCATAAGCACCTTTGTAGCCATATTCAAGTAAAGCAAGACATATATCTGGTCACATTAACACCTGGCTGTAAATCAATTTCATATAGAATATCTTGTTAACATCTTTATTAAATTATTAAATTTTAATTCATATTGTTTGTTTGACAAAATTGTATTATATTTTTCAATAAATTAACCGTGGGTTTCTAAGACCGAAATCTTCGTAAACATATTGTTATGTTTTGTTAAAGATATTGACAGGGATGTTATATACAGACTGGTCTCAGAAACCAACAGTTAATTAATAAATTTCGTGACCTAATGTTTTTTGCATAGTTAATTTAAAATTAGGTACTACAAATTCTTCGTAGGTTAATTTATTTATTATATCCTTCATGGTAATAAGACTGAAATATAGAAATTTAAACATTTTTGTTTTGTACATAGATTTATAACCTACAGAGATGTTTGAATTCGGATCTTTAAGTGGGAAAAATGTCTCCGGATGTCTTTTGTTGGGGAAAATTTCTTTAATGTTGCCAATAACAAAAGAATTGGAAAATTGACTCGATTATATGTCAATTTTTTTTTTAATTTTCTGGATTATTGTCAAATTTCTACTCATCTATAGATTATATATCTATGGTTATGTTAGTTTATATCTGTATGATATTGTTTGTGTAGTCAAAAATATTTTTATGATATTAAAAATTAAAATTATTTTATTTATATACAATATTTAAATTGAATAAGAAACGCGTGAAATGTTTTAAAATTTAGCGATTTTTTTTTAAACTGACCGAAAATTTAGTTTGATAACTTTTTAAATTCAATGTAAATATAAATTTAACTTGTGCCAATAAAATAAAGTTATTTATCCTTAATAAAGACAAATTTTCAATATTAAAATTTTAACGTCGGGTTCCACTGATATAACACACATACAAGACCTTTACCATCTTAAAATTTCACAAACAATCCAAAAAAAACAGCTTCTCAATATATTCGTATTGTTTTTTTTTAGATATTTTTCTACATATGTTCAGTGGAAACTCACTTTTAGATTACCAAGTGACACGTCTGTAGTTAATTATGAGAATCGTTGGTTTCTGAGACCAAAAACTCTATATAAAAGATATTGACATCACTATCATTATATTTGACAAAAATAGGGATAACAATATGTTTTAATGGAGATTTTGGTCTCGGAAACCCATTGTAAGTGACGTAGATAAAATTTTATTAACTATATTTGTTACATCTACTAGATAAAAAAGAAATAATATCATTACCAACAACCGAAAACATCTTTTATTTTTTTTCCAATTTGACTTTTATAATTTTAAAAATAAACATTTTACACAATTTGTCGAAAAAAAACTTGTTAAAAATGCATTTTTCGTATTTAAGAACAAGATTGAGTGTTTTTTAATACATTAGTTTTCCATTCAATCTCACATTCTAAAAGCATCAAGGAATCTTTATTACGATTTAATATATTTTTTTGTTTCTTTCAATTTTCATGGGTTATAAAATAAAATCAACTAATTTATAATAATATTAAATTTAATATCTTGTTAGATAAATGCTTAGTTTCGATACAGAAAAAAAATCAAGAAATTTACAGTTTTAAATGACGAAAGCCGTTCGGCGCGATGGCGATGTGACGTCACTCGAGGCGGTTACAACCGGTTTCGTTATAACCGGTTGTAACCGGTTTAATTTATCGTTACATCTGATAGCTGAGGCAGCACTAGTGTCGTTCGTTGTTAGTCACTTTTAATAATGATTCAGGTAAATATAAATGATGATGAGAGGGGTCTGAGTCGTTTACCATGATTTATCGCAAATTAGATATGGTTTCTAGGTAAGATATCTGCGGCACGTGTACACGCATGCGGTGCGGGCGCAGTGCGTGCGCGGTGCGGGCGCGGTGCGTGTGCGGTGCGCGTGCGTGCTACGCGTCAGTCTGCGTGGCGCGGCACGCGAAGCGCGCTGTCTGCCGTCGCTACGAGCCGGAACTGCTGCGCGCCGCGTCCTCGCGTTGCTTACCAATGTACACCTTCAATATACAAGTATTATCTTTTAAATAAATAATCAAATTACTATTTATTGATAAGACACAGAGGATGAACATATTGATATAGGGATTGTCAAAAATTAGATGTTTTTGTAGATTCAAATTGAAATTTATCATAAATCAAATGATCTTTTAGTAACAGTTCATAGGCGTCGCTAGCGTATGATCTAGGCTAGGTGTAGGTGAGGGAGGTTGTGGTGCGTGGTGTACCTGCAGCAGGCGGAACTTGCTGACGGAGAGGTGCTTGAGATGCGGCTGCATGCGCTCCTCGCCGAGCGCGAACGTGAACGCCACCATACAGAACACCGCCGCCTTGCGCACCGCCGAGTTCTGGTGGTCCGCCAACTATACACCACAACAAACAATAATGTTAAATTCATACTGAAAAGAGCTTTCATCCTTTTACATACAAAATTCATCAATTAGTTAGCACATAAAAATAAGTGAACTCTTCAGAAGTATTCGAACTAAAAAGCAGTTTCCATATTTGTCCATTATCTTGCAGATACATTAAATAGTATTATGTATTGTGGATGTGTATGATGTGGATGTACCTGTCCGACTCCCTCCATGAGCTGTGAGACGATGTCGTCAGTGAGCTCGGAGCTGCGCGCCTTGGCCACCTCTGTGGCGAGCTTGAGCGCGCACAAGGAGGTGGGGTACCCGCGCGTGCGGATCACCGGCTTCAGCAGCGCGAACACCTGACACAACACACAACCTTACCTCATCACACCATAATAGAAATAAACAGTATAAATTCATTATAAAAGACGTTGTAATATCTTGATTTTTTTTTTATATCAAAAGGTGGCAAACGAGCGAGCGGCCACCTGAAATCGCTGAAATGGCGAAGTGACCGTTGCCCATAGACATACGCAATTGCATATGCGTTGCCTACCTTTAATCGACGGAGGAGAGGATGCACAGAAAGAAAATATCTTCCCTTTCCATGCATCCTCTCATCCGGAAAGTCCACTTCCACTTCCCATCCTTTCCTTACAAAGAAAAGGATGGGAAGTGAAAGAGGACTAAATTAGGCCTCCGGGACGCACACTCATCAGACGAAACGCGGAATTGCTTCCACTTGACGCCTGTCTTCTGTGTGGTCGTGGTATTTCACCGGGCGAGCCGGGACAATTCTTGCGAAGATGTTAAAGCGGGCTCTACCACTGTTAACTTATTTATTTTCTGAACAGGATGAAATACATGGTGATATTGTTAAAAAGTACAAGTAGTTACTTTCGATTTGAAATAATATAAATGCGAAAGTTTGGATGGATGTTTGTTTCTACTTATCTCCAAAACGGCTTTGGATTTCGATGATATTTGGCATAGATATAGAACAAAACCTGGAATAACACAAAGGCTATACTAAATTTTCTTTAATTCCGCACGGATTGGGTTGCGGGAAAAAAATAGTAATAAAAATACAGAAATAAGTAGACGCGTAAGTATGTGGATACCTGATGCGCTGGCAGTGCATTAGCGATGTGGGGCATGCCGGCGTCCACAGCGCGCATCACCTCCTTGCTGAGCGCGTACGCGTTGATCAGCTTCAGCAGGATCAGGTCGAAGTAGTCCAGCCACAGCGCGCGCGTCTGCTCGCGCCGGCACAACCACACCAGCACGCGCACCGCCTCCGCCGCCGCGCGCTCGCTCGCGCTGCCCCATCCTGACACATCCACAACCCCACATTATGTAACATACACCTTTATATACAGCTTTCACATGGTGACAATCAGAACTAATAATAATGATAGAATAAATTATCAGTAACATCAAAACACGCTTCACGTCTGAACGAAGCAAAAGTTGTCATTTCCAATGACCCAACCATTTATAGAGATCAGTAGCCGAAGGAAAAATTAAGAAAGAATCACTTCTCAAATTTTGGCAACGCCTCTGTAAACATTGAACTTCTTGCTTACGTTTATGGCAGCGGTCACTTCGCTATTTCAGCGAAATCAAATGGCAGTTTGAGTAAATCAAATCAATTTGTTACCTGATTGTTGTGCGTTGGTGTTGCTGGCGTTGGCCGCGTTGGTGGCGCCATCAGCGTTCTCCTTGTCTGCGGAACCCTCCTCCACAGACAGCGCGGCCAGCGCCACGCGCACTATATTCCTGACAACATGCAATAATCTCATTAATCTTATCTTAGTAATATTACAAATGAAAATTTTAGGATAGATGGATGAATGGTAGAAGGTATCTCCAGAACGGCTGAATGGATCTTGACGAAATTTGGCATACATATAAAACATAGTCTTGAAGAACGCATAGGCTACTAATTAACTTTATTTTAATTTCACACGGACGGAGTTGCGGGCGACGGCTAGTGTGCTAGCTATACATAAGTAATGACCATCGATATTTATTTTTTAATGAAGTAGTAATGACGTGACACCAACTTGAAGTACTCGCAGGGCTTGCGGCAGTCGCCGTACTTGAGCAGCTCATGCGTGGCCAGCAACAGCCGCTCCAGCTGCTCGGGCTGCGCCTGCGCCGCGTCCAGACCGCACAGCGCCTCCAGTACCTCCGGCTCCCTCAGACCACCTGGAAAGAGCGAAGTCAATAAATAAAATTAAGTAAAAAGACAATATAGATTATAAATGTTATTGAAAAACCTTACATTTCGTAATAATATATCCGTTCTCGTCTGTTTCGTAAGGTTTTATCTTGTCGCGAGCCAAATCCCTGAAATGCAAAAATAAAGAGTCATAAATATTAAAAATTATGTGTTTGTCAATTTCTTGATTACAATTCTCCTTTTGCATAAGTATGGTCAAAAATGGATATTTAAACCGGTGAGAGGCGCTGCTAACGGGATTGATTCTGTCAGAATATATATAAAACCTATTTGGACATAGACATGACAGCTACAGTACAAAGAGGATCTTGACACTGTTTGACATTGACAGGAGGGGAGGGCGCACTAGCGCCCCCCCTGTCAAACTCACTCGCTTAACACAATTTAGTTTGAATTTTGCCTACCGGCTCTGATAGCCTTGTTTGCATGTATTCGACGTTCTAACCATGAAGAAAAACATCGTGATAACCAGCATTGGGCCAGTATGGTTGACTAAAAACTGACGATGAGCAGATTGTCATGACGTGAATATGTAGCGATGTGAACAGACCCGTGGTGCGCGAGATGGTGCGCGTGGGGTACTGGCGAGGACTCCTTGGTGCTGCCTGTCTCCTCCGAGCTGTCGGCGGACGCAGCGCGTGCTATCGTCTCGTTACTGCAACAAATACATCGCTATAATATCTTTAACTATAGTATATTCAAAGTGTGCCAACTTATTTAATGTTATTAAAACTTTAACCTCCTTAAAACTCCTCCTTCCACTTTGTTAATTTCGTACTTATTACATACGTCACCTATTGTTTCTATTTTTCGGTGTGTTATATAACTGGGGTATATACTAACGCGCTGTAATGTCCGTTGGGCACGCCATTAGCGCCGTTGGTACCATTGGTTCCCTTGTTGGAGAGCGTGGCGCCTGACATCTGACTGATGCCGGAGTCCTTGCTCGACATATGGTTGCCGCATTCCGCTGACAAAATAAAAGTTATTTTGAGATAAAGAAATATATAGTTTTTTACCTTGCGTATCATATAAATAAAATTGTGTCATTTTTACGCTATATGCAGAAAAAATTAAATAGTTCAAAACTCTAAATATTTAATTTTTTTTCTTAAACATGTTTACTGAGTATTTAAACTGTCTATCGACTATATCACAACATTTATTTTTATCTATTTTTTTTTCAAAGAGATGACAACATTGTTGTTATACGGATGTTACAATGAAAACTTCTTTCTACATACTCCAGGTGGTAAAAAATTATAAAACAAATAAAATAACTAACCATTAGCATGCTGCGCTGTATACGAATGTATTTCAGATGTGGTCTTGCGTATGCGCGAGTACACGTCCTCGCCGCCCGCCGCGTTGTTGCTTACTGCGCGCAGCGGGCTCTCGCTGCCGGCTAGACAGAGATAGATATTACAATTATCATATAACCGAAAAGGATAGCATGATAGTATCAGTTCAGTATATAAGCAATAGCTATACTAACTGCTCGAGGTTCTCCGGACGTGCTGCTGGACCACACTGTTGACCAGAGCTTGCGTCTCAGCTGGCAACTCGCTCATTAACGCCGTAAACTGAAATAGAAGGGAGCATGTTGTGTATTAAAAGTATACTACGATTCTTTAAACTGACTGAAAATCATGTAAAGTTTAGTAACTTGTCGATAAACAGGATTAGTAGCATTTTGTACGTTGTGAGTGCCACTGTTAGTCTTTGGGAGAAACTTCTTGTAGAGGGGATCTTATGGGGTGTGTCCTTTGAACTTTAAGGGGGTCTGTGTATGTAGGGGGTGGAGGTTGGTACTTACAGGCACGGGGTTGCAGTCGTAAAGCGCTGCGAGTGCACGTCGAGCGCCTGTGCGCACTTCGGGCGCGCGCGGGTCACTCGCCAGCGCCGCCACCTTGCACAACGCACGTCCAGCTGCGCCACTAGCGCCACCTGTCAGAATATATTTATTACTTTCTTTCAAAACACAAGTTTGAAATGTATGGATGGATGGATGTTTATTTAAAGGTATCTATAAAACAGCTGCAGGTATATCGCAAAAATTTGTCATATATGTAGGACATAGTCTGGAAGAACACATTGACTACTAATAAAGTCTTTTTATTCCGCGCGGACAGAGTCGCGGGTGACAGCTAGTTAGTTTATAAAATGATGATATTGTTTTATTGTTTACTTACCATTGAGCGCCAGTGCGAGGCTGCTGGGAGTGCAGTACTCGTGTGCGAGATCAGTCAGGAATCGTAGCGCGGCCACTTTCGTCTTCGCTGTAGGTGTGGTCGCACCGTCAGCTAGGAACCTGAAATCAATTATAATTAATTATATATTCGCTTCACGTTAATATATAGAAGTACTTCAGGGATTTTCCAGCATTTTTAAAGAAATTTGCAATAAGCATTCTTATATAATTAATAAGGTATTAATGTAAAAAAAACCTGAAGGAGGAAAGAACTAGAAGTTTTATGATATTGGTGACATACTATTTTTTGTATGCTTAGGCATAAATTTCACAGAAATGTTGTTTTTCCTTCCTCAGGTTTCTACTGCACATACTTTCGTACAAAGATAAATCTATTTTTTCAAAGAGCATGACACCAATAAAACTTTTTTTTTATTTGAGTACTGTAAACGGACCTGAATATATTGTGCAGCTGTAGCTCGGCGGGGAAGTACTCGTGTATCACGTCCAATGTCTTCATAATCTTTGTCTGCATGGAACCCAAGATGTCTGTGCCTAGCTTCATCAGCAGCCTGTAACCATGACAACACATTTGTTATTGAAAAATAAATTTTGTAATATCTAGTGGGCAAGTGTCGCCCTCTGTTAATGAGAAAAAAAACTATTGCCTGTTTTCACCAACCAGCCTATAAAGTATTCTTAAATAAGTAGCACTTTGGCTAAGGGTTTAAATAAATGTTAAGCAAAGTTATAAACTAAGGTAACACTTAAACATTTATGAAACAAAATCCTTACTAAGGGCCCTAGAACTGGATGATCTGAACATCATCAAAATCTGATGTACATTTTTTAAATAAAAAATACCTGAACATAAGTTGATACAGCCAATCTTTGAGTTGCGCGCAGTGCACCAGCAGCAGCTCACAAACAGCATCCAGCAATAGAGTGAACATCTTGGTGTGCGCGTCCACGAACATCTTATTCAACAGCTCTGTTAGACGACGCAGCTGGTCTTCCGTTAACAGACGTCCGCTGTTTAAATAATTAGCCTGGAATATGAGCTTTATGTGAATTTAAGCTAAATGTACAAATAAAGTCGTTTTATGTTTTCTTTTGTTTTCTCTGAAATAAGAGAAGAGCTTTTCTTAATGATTCTTGATTTGAACTATATTTTTCTCCTAAATTATATATTTTATATTATTTTTACTGACAACGTATAGCTGTGCAAACTTATCTCGTCATATTCACATGGCTACTATTGCGGTACTTACATAAGTTTTGTCAGAAAATATACTAAGGCGCACGCAAAATATATTTTTGCGTCACAAAATGAAACTTTTTTGTTTGAAGACTAGCGGTTGCCCTCGGCTTCGTCGTAAATAACAAATTGTCGTATATGTCCCTAATCAGCTACCTTCCCAAAGAAGTCCGGTCAAAATCCCGGAACAAACTTGCAGAAATACGAAGACAAAAAAAAATTACCGCACTTATTTCATGTCTACGGATTTTTACATACAGACACTTCAACTTAATACTATGTATGGATGTATGGATAGAAGACAGCGCCATCTAGTCGTTACATCGTCGCATTAAAGTGACACAAAGGTATACTGACGAGATGAGTGAGCCCGTTCTTGCGCTCAGTCCAGTGCGTGCAGGCACACAGCGCGATGATCTCGTCGGGGGGCGGCGGCGGCGGCGGGGAGCTCTCCCAACCTTGACACGACCATGATGAACTCTGCACACAGAAACATCACTCAACAATTATAATATTACTAACAAAACGTATGCATTGGTACGCCTTGTCATAATTAGTAAAATAACTTAAAAAATAGATCTTTGAATTAATAGATCAAGATTTTACTTTAATTTTCTAACAGATGGCGTTAAATACAATATATATTTTTTATTAGTATAAAATAGAGTTTTACGTTAGATAAAACATTTAGAAATAAATAAATTATACAAAAGTGACGTATACACAGTTTATTGTAGTATCAACTCACATCATGTCTCCTGTAAGAGTCCAAACTCCTCTCCGAGCAGACGCTGGACGCCTCAGAGTCATCGTCGCGCCGTCTGTCGTCGCACATCGAACTATCCTCGGGACTCTGTAACACATAGTATATACAAAGTTAATACACATTAAAAAACACCACGTCCGTATCTCAGAGGAGTAGGCAGAGACAACAGATCTCTATTTGGCGCCCTCCTGACACACCTCCCTCGCTTCTTCTCATCCATACATCGACGCAGGTCGTATTCGGATGCGCTTAATATTGACAAACATCATCTCTTGCCCTTTTTACTATCGGTGCATAAATTTGCTTTCTTCTTACGCATATCCTAAGTGAATAAATTACTGTTTGTGTTTTCTTTAACAAATAAATATATGTACTCTTAGTGAGGCCTCCGCATCCCTGGACTGCTGCAGCAGACGGAGCGTGGCGGCGGGGGCACGTGTTGCTCGCTCCACAGACTCACGGCGCCGCACTCCGCCGATAGCACTGCTCGAACGACCGTTCCTACAACACAAATATATTATATTAAAGTTGTTAACAGCTTCTATATTTTTAAAATGCAACAGTGTTAAATTGTTGTATTTTTTATTTGTTTCGCTAGAATAGTTGATGTTATCAATTTCTATTGATGCAACAAGTGAAAAAATTGCAGATGTTTTGTCAAGCTTTAGTGTCCAGGGGAGAGGAAGTACAGAAAAAAGAGAATATTTTCTTTGTCTATAGTACTTTTTTTTAAGAAAACATTGAAAAAAGGTATTATTTTTGTTTTTTCCAGATGATGAATGGAGTAGATTTTGTTTGATTACCTGGTGGGGCTAGTCTCTCTGGAGCCGGCGAGGGAGCGTGGTATACCAGAGGGTCGGCGTCGCGTCGACAGCGACAACGGCCCGCTACGAGATGACGGCGACGACGAACGAGATGTCGCTGCAAAACATTTTTTTTAAATTGTATTACCGTAACTCTTCATAGCCAAGATATTATATTCAAATGTCAATCTCATGTAACAAAGTGTAAGGTATATGGACGTTGTCAGAGGGGGGCATTGTCGGTGTACTCACGTTGTGACTGTGACACTCCAGGTCTGGAGCGCGAGCGGGCCGCGGTGCGCTCGGGGCTGGGAGGTACTGCAGCGCTTACTGGAGACCGTTTCACACGCGCTACAATATAAAACATTCATAAATTGTATTCAGTTATTATAAAAGTTATAAAATCAAGTATACCTTGGATTAAAAGCTTAATAGCATAAAGTAAGCTAAAAGCTAAATAAACAATAATAAACAAAGTATCAGGGACCTAGCATGAATATTCATGAGAACGTGTTTGTAACGACAACGAAAAAAATTGTACAGCGCCTCCTACCGGGCGTAAAGTACACCAACAAATCTTGTATAAATTTTGTCATGTTTTGTCGATAACGCTACGAAGGTGTGTGTCACAAATCGTGCTAGGCCCTCGACTAAAGTGTAAAGCAGGTAAGGGTGAAATAAAATCAAGATATATAGTAGAAGATAAGCTACAGTGTTCACAATCACAAATATACCTTGTTGTGCCATCTCGCCCTCTTCAGTATCGCAAGTAAACATAAAACAACATTACTTATATCACCTAATTATCCTATCAACATTTATTAGTAATAACTATAAGATTCTTTTTTTATTATCATTAACTTATTTTATATTCCTTTTTAATCTCTCTAAGTAATTAACTGCCACTCAGAATCTCTACATATTAGTGATTCTGAGTGGCAGTTAATAGGCACAGAGTAGATACAGTGTGAAAAATGTACACTAAAGGACTGATTAAGTATTATTTATGTTTACGGATGTATGTATGTATGTATGTGTATACGTACGCAGGGAGGCAGTGCCGGCGGTGACCTTGGCGCGGCTCATGTGCGAGTAGAGCGCGCGTGCACGTGCTCGCTGCGCCGCCGCCGAGTCGAGTGCGGACACGCTGCGCGCCGCCCCGCCCATACCCCCCGCACCCGGGGAACGTTCTGGAATGTTCTCATTCACTCACTGCGACATTCTTCTCTCTCACTTTCTCTTATATAATCACACAGAGACAGACATCACAGTATACGAGTATTTAAATTTGGAATGTCCGTTCTTTTACTGATAGAAATTACAATTTTCTAGAGTTTTTAGTAAGTTATAAAATTTAAATCTAGTTTTTTGTTGTTTATTGGTACTACATGTGTTGATTTAATTAAAAAATGTAATTCAAGCTAATATGTATCTTCATATACAAACCTTTAATTTGCTATTATCGCGTCCGTACAATGAACTAAGCTAATATTGTTAACTATGATAATTAACATAAAACTAGTATAAGAACATGTATTGACCTCTCATAGCAACAGGTATATGTGATATCGGAGGTCTCTCTTGTGAGGCGCGACGTCGTCTTAACGAGTTGGTCCTACTCAAGCCGGACACCAAGTTTTCAGTGGAAGCTGTATTCGTGTAGAAGCAATCAATTCAAACCCATACCAATTCCGTTTTTGTAAGCGTGGAAGGAAAACAATCGATCACTAAAAGGTGCATTTCAAAGTGTTTTTGCATATGTTTTTGTTGTAAACTCACCCGAAACACTTGCAGACGGACTCTTGGGACTGATGAGCGCTCTCCTTTCTATAAAGAGAGATTTTTATGATAAAAATTCTAGTGTGATTATTTTTTAACACCTTCAGGATCAACTCCCTTAGTAACTATATAAAAATTATGACTCGTCTAAATATTGTCTACTAAAACACTTTCATCCGAAATTCCTTTCCTTTACCTATCCTTTCTTCTACAAAATCCAATATATTTTTTTAAGTGGATATATAAATGTTGGTACTATATTTGTATATAATTTCTTTATATATATTTATAAGGCCATATATAAAAATGAAAATACATATTTAAACATTCATTTATTATTAAAAAGGAATTTATAAAATATTATATATATATTAGTGGGCGGGGGACTATTAGAAAGTATGAACACAAAAGTTATTATATAATTTTATTACATAAAGCATAAGACATATTTAAATTTCTATTTACTTAAATATATAATAAAGAGGTAGAGGAATGTTAACTAAACTACATTTAAACATACACATATGTTAGATTTTACGCTATAAAAATTATTACATTAAATTCTATATTTCTAGGTTACTATTTAGGTAAAATTTAACAACTATTCAACGAGATTTATTAGTTATTTTTTTTCTATCTAACAAACAGTTAATACTATAAACATACCTTACAAAATATATGGTTTAAAATTATAATCCATGCATTTTTGATGGATTTGTGAGTACTAAAAAATGTGAAACAATCAAACCAATACATATATGGTCCTTCTAGCAGGATAAATTATAAACATTATTGAACAAACGATGCATATTCTAATAATAAACATCGAAAAACAAGTGTCTATGGGAGGGAGGTGAAATAAAGGATATTGGGAAGGGAATCACGGCAGGGTATTGACCTAAGGGCGCTTTATGATTGTATATAGGGTTATAGTATTTCTCTGCTCATTTCCTCATACATTGTCCATTCAAAAATTTAATTATTTAAAGTTTTTAAAATAAATTAATTTCTAATAAATATAAAACGATTATTGGAATGTAGATTTTATTTATTTATAGTTAATTTTAATCTTATTATATCTATTTGGAGGACGAAAGGAACCTTAGACAAAGTAACGTAGATAATCAAAAAGTTAAGAATGTATGGAAATGACGATACCTTCTAATATGACAAATGTTTGTCATGTCATATGTCACGTTTTGACACGTTTTCATGACTGTATAGTCAAACAAATTGACCCGGTGAGAGGCGCTGCTATCGCGTTTGTCATCATTTAGTTCGACGTCCACCGGGTCAGATAAGTTGGGTCAAAATGTATAGGAACATACAGGCGACATGGTTTTTTTTAATTCCATACATATTTGACTTTTACCTTATGGAATCACTAATCGAATGTATCATTGTGTAAAGGGGGTAGGACAGAGAGGTAACTTAGTAAGATTACTAACCAGTGCCGACATGGTGCAGACTGTCAACGCTGCCGACCCTCTCTCTGTCGATCTGTTTCTGTGCTCCGGGGTCCATCTGCTGGAACAGGTGCTCCGCGTCCTCGGGGAAGTGACGTTTGTATGCCCAGTATGCCCTGAATAATTCATTCACTTAAATAATATCATTTCAAAATTACAATACGGGCTGGTGGCTCAGGGGTTAAGCACTTCACTTACAATCTGCAGGTCCTGGGTTCGAATCCCGCCATGTATCAGTATTTTTCGATTTAAATATGTACATTTACCCGACGTTCCTACGGTGCAGAAAAACAGCGTAATGCTACACATATCTGAGAAGAAATTCAAAAATATGTGTGACTTCAATCCACACTGGGCCAGCTTGGTTGACTATGGCCTAGTCACCTCAAGGGTACCGAGTCCCTTAGTGGGGACCTATGCTGCTGATGATTTCCCATTTTCTTTACTCTATCTATATTGCTCTCTCCAGTACCTGCGTCCGTGGCTGCGCGCGGTGCTGTCAGCGTCTGTGCAGGAGCGGCGGATGGCGTCGCGCACCACCTGCTGCTGCTTCTCTATGCAGCTGGTCGACCAGTGCTCCAGCAGCACCACCAGCAGCTCACTACAAACAAATATTGCAATTTAAAATTGATTTAAATCACATATGGTTCCAAATAGTATTATTCCACGACCACGTTGGACATCCGTATCCTTAAACATTATGTATGAACGTATCATTTTCCTGGTCTTGTCCCTAAATAGTGTCAGAATATACTACTCCATACATACAACTACTCTACCATACATACAATTCTATCAGCCGTCATATCTCACACAAATAATGTACAAACAATTAATTAAAATTGATGATGACAATCCAATTTTTTATTTGTTCGTCGTTCCGAGTAATCTCTGAAACGGCTGGGCCCATTTAGACGGGACTTTGCCGGGAAGATAGGTGATGTATATGGGAATACATATATATAAATATAGTATACCTGAGCGTGGATCGTATCTCCTTGGACTTGTGCGTGGTGAGGTTGGTGGCAAGCGGCGGCAGCAGGCGCGGCGAGTGCACGTGCACCACCACGTAGCGCAGGCAGATCGTGCCCGCTGACGACATCACCTGCGCACGCGCACAACATACTGACATACCTCTTTCACATAACACTGTATATGTTGTCTCTGTTATGTCAAACGGAAAGAAAGAGATAACAGATACAGTTAAGTTGTACGGTAAAAGTAAGTAAGTACCTTAGCAGCATTTTGTATCAGATTGATAACTTCTTGCATTATGTACAGACTGAACTGATCCAATTTGTTTTTCAACACTTTTGCCATGTGAGCTATCGTTATACACGCCTCTCTCACAACCTGAAAGAAACACAAAATTACACTAGAATTATGAACATTTTAAAACACTTAAAAATAAAGTCACAAAATCGTGTTTCTTTGGTTGATGTATGTAGGGATAGAGGTGTCACCTGGCTCCTGAGATCTTTGATGACGACTAGGAAGGGCACCGCCAGCTCCTTGAGATGTGCCGAAAACTCCACCGGATACTGCACGTGCGCATTCGCAGTCAGCAGCGAACGTATTTTCTTCAACTATAAAATAAACAGTAATATTTTAATACGACGATTATATAACAATAATAGAACAAAAGCAAATATATTACTGTAATAGTAAACATATAACTAGAATCTTTGTTTTGTTATGTAAATTAATCAAAATTAAATACTTGTTTCCAGCAACATTGGCTTCTGTATGAAGAGTCTAATTGTAATATTTTATTTTAGTGTTCCATATTCGTACTGGTCCGTACGTATACGTGTGTAGGTACTCGTACATATACGTATACATGCGTAGTAGGTACGTACCGCATCAACACGTCGCTCCCAGTCAGCTGCGCGGTCGCCTAGCAACGCAGCCGCGTGCCGGAAGAGATCATCAAGTCCACGAGCACCGTAGATAGCAGCGGGAGCGGTGGCCGCGAACGCAGCCTCGAACGCCTCGCTGGACACCGCGCCCGCCTCACCACTGCCCGCCACACCGCTGCTGGATCCTATGCACAAAGGTATTTTATAACACGAGTTATTTAAATAATGTTACTCCTTACACCTTACAATAACATAATCACGCCCGTAACCCAGAGAGGTAGACAGAGACTATGAACCTCCATTTGCCGCCTGACACACACATCTCGCTTCTTCTACACTCATATTTCTTACTAATATTATAGATACGAAAGTATGGATGGATGTTTATCCCGGAAATGTGTGTGTTCCCGTGGAATTAGTTTGATTCACATTTTTACTTGATTACTGCAACAAATCTTATTAAAATGTGGTACAGATCTAGAACATAGTCTCGAGTTATAAATTCACAGATAATTTTCACATTTTTTTTTAATTCAGCGCAGAAGAAGACACGAGCAACAGCTAGTTTTATATTAATGATGATACCCTTAGTGTAAATTTCAGACAGATTACAGACCACTTAGCGTATTTGAGGCAGTAAAAATAAGCAAAGGCGATTTATTCTAAGCTATTCCCTTAAAAATGCAATCTTGTTATCCTAAGTGACATTAGCACAGTGTATACTAACCAGCTCCAGCACTCTGTAACTTGGCGGGAGGAGGAGGTTTCCTGTTAGAAGAGGGCAGGCTGTAGAGGCCCGCCACCGTCCTCTTCGGAGGCTCGTACGCTGTGAGTGAACGATGCGATGATGGAAAGGTGATGAGTGACCGGGTACAGCCGAGTGAATGTTATTGAAGGTCCAGCGGCAATCCATGATGGAAGAAGGAAATTGTTAGATATAGCGATAGATAGATGATGATGAAAGTATAGCTTTAAAGAAAATTAATTTATATTTGATGATAAGCAAGAACTCCTGGATTTCCTTAGTATTACTAACAAAATCTTGCATTAATAATTAAAATCTTAGGTGTATGGTAACGCGTATGCGTGCTATGTGTTGTCGTGTACGTATACGCAGTGTGCGTGCGCGTACGTAACGTGTACGTACCTGGGGTAGACGCGGGCGAGCAGTCTTCACGGCGCGCGGACGTCGGGATCGTCATCGTGCGTTTCACACTACGAGATACGAAGTCAGTCTCGTCTACAGCTGAAAATGTATACCTTTGTACATAACAATGCCGGTGGCTCAGGGGTAAAGCTCTTAACTTGTAATCTGCAAGTCCTGAGTTCGAATCCCGCATTGTACTAATGTGTTTTCTATTAGCATATGTACATTTTTCCGACGTTCTTACGGTGAAGGAAAACATCGTGATGCTGCACATATCTTATAAGATACTCATAGATATGTGCAGGAAAGCGTTTCAGAGGAGTATGGTAGCAACCATTGTGACACGACAACTTTATATATTATGAAGACAATAAACCGATATATTTATTTATATTTCAATGGCATATATTGTTTTGTTAAAGATCAAAAGTTTCTCTTTCATTCATAGCATTATTCCTTTCTTGCTATTGACCTTGAAAGAAGGAAACAATAAGCTCGGAACCTCGATATCTATTACAAAGAACAGACTAAAAATCTTTATAAAACACAGACTTTTGTTAACATACATAATCTTTCTAATATACTATACCAAGAACTAAAGGAATTTCGATAAAATTTAGCATAGATGTAGAACATAGTCTTTAGGAATACGTAGGCTAGTATTTTTTTCATTTTGTTACCTGTAGGCAGCAATAATCCGGCTTCCTTCGCCTCGTCAAACTTCTGTTCTAAAAGTGCCATCTTCTGAGCTGGCACCAGTTCCTTCTTCTTCAAATCATATCGTAGTTTTTCACCTGAAATCACACAAATAGATACTAAGTAACTAATACTATCTCCTTGGTATAGAAAATAATTCCTAATACTGGAAATAAAAACTGCATGTCTATATGTCAAATTGTTTACGTTCAATTTTTATAATACACTAACTGTTCCCGCGACTTCGTCTTCTTTGTATTATTTACAACCTTTAGGGTAAAAACTTTTTATAAAACTTGCTTAATTAAGTATCAAGTATACACTTTGCATCGCCATATTCAAAGCTTTTTTCGCGTTAAAAAGTAGCCTATGTCTTTTCTCAGACTCTAAACTACCTGGGTACCAATTTTAATTTAAATGGGTTCAGTAGTTTTGGCGTGAAAGCGAGACAGATATACTCGTACATATAATTAATACAAAGCTTATTTAATTGTATGTGTTTCATCTGCTCTATTGTGTGTATGTGTGTATGACTGACCGACGTGTCTGTAGACATCAACGAGGAGTTGCATGGCGGCATCTCGCACCGCACTGTTGGGGTCTCCCACCAGCGCAGCCAATGTCGGCACTGCGGTCCGCAGCTGCAGGTCCGCCGCGCCGTGTCTGAGTACCATTGGTACATTAAATATATGAACACGTTCAATGCCTCCTATGTAAACTATCGTATGTTTAAAACGAACATTTTGGAACACAAAACTTTGGACATTCTTCTTTCTAATATTAGTTTAAAATTTATACAGAAATTAGTATTTATCGATTAAAATAAAAGAAAGTAAACGCAGTCGGAAATATACGAATCTACGCTCCCACAGGGAATCTGATTTCCTCTCAAAAGTCTTTTTTTGTATATTATAAGGTGACAAACAAGCGACTACGTGAATTCGCCTAAATGGCGAATCGACCGCTGCCCATAGACATCCCCAATTACACGCCTACCTTTATCGACATGAAAGGAACGCATAGAAAAAGAATATTTCTACATCCTATGCGTCACCTCCTCCGTCAAATACCCATGTCCAACCCATCTTATCCTTATAAGAAAGTTTACTTTACTGTATACTCACGCTTCAAGCAGTGATCCTATACAGCGCAGAGTCTCCTCCCTGGTATGCGCAGCCTTATGCTGTAGCGCAGGGGTAAGCCGCGCCAGCAATGTGCGCGGGGCAACCGCACGGCTCGTACCTAAAGCAGCCAAGCACGTACGGGCTGCGGTACGCACGCATTCTTTTGTGTCAGCCAATCTGAATAGAAAATAACAATGTTTATTAAAAAAACGCGACTTAATGTAAAGATTCGTTTAGATATAAACAAAATCAAACAAATCAAAAAACAAAATCACGAACAGTCGCAGAGCGAGACAAACTTATGTAGATCGTATACCTTTGTCTCGCTCTAACGTGACCGCCGGAGCGTTGTTCGTACGATTCCAGATTATGTCTTAATGCACCATAACTGCAAATTCCTATAACAATTAGGTAAGGAATACGAATCGAACGACACTTCATTTGTTAAAATCAGTTCCATCGTTTTGGCTCCAGTCAGTCATAAAGGAACTTAAAACTTCCTATCATAATTCATGTAATACAGTAATTTCGGCAGTGTAAAACAATTGTAATTCGTAAACAAAATCAACCGTTTCTACAGATTTGTAAACATTAGATTCATAATCCGCTGTCGAGAAAACCGCATGCCATCCGATACTTGATTCTCAAATTCATTATGTAAATGAATATATATCCAATTTTATAAACAAACCATCGCAAGGTTTATTATTGAAAAACAATACGATCTTTATAAAACAATGAAATGAAATTTCCTATATTAATATTTCAAAAATTTGTTCACCACAGATTTGTAGCTAAATGGCCACTAAAATCGTTCCTCAGCGTAGATTTAATATGCTAACTAATATGATAAGTGGGAATGTTTTGATGGATGTTTGTTTGAAGGTATCTCCAGAACGGCTGAACGGATTTTGATAAAATTTGTCATACATATAGAACATAGTCTGAAAGAACACATAGGCTACTTCTTAAGTTTTTTTTTTAATTCCGAGCGGACGGATTCTCGAAAGACAGCTAGTTAGTCATGTAACGTCTGGGTAAAATAAACCCATACCCAGTTAATTAACTAATTTTGATACACCGTAACAAACTCAGTTGTAAGGTTTCTTAAGAAGCAGATTTTACCAACAAAAACTAAAGCAGTATCAGATTTGGTCAACCAAATATAAACTATCGAAAATTGGATTACTTTCTAAGGCTTAGAAATCACTTATTTGTATATAACAACCTAATTTTATTACTTTTTGTTTTACGTAACTCAAACCATGGGTTTCTGACACCAAAATCTCTGCATAAAATATATCGTCATCCCTGTCTTGGTCTCAGAAACCCACGGTTAGATGATAAATAATTATAGCCGTAATCAGCACTTTGTTAAACAGTCATTTAGTCTTGATTATCACACTAAATCTACACTAATAGACCACTTAATGACTGCGGTGTTTGAATATTGTAAACAAGTTTAAGAAAAACTTTCTTTTTACCCACAATAGTTCAGAAACATCAATCTTTCTAACATCCATTTGACGGCTATAATTTCCTAAACATAGATTAACTATAAATAGGTAGTTTTGCTATATCTTGTACAGTTTAACATTGGCCTGCTGCCCTTGACATTACCCCGCTCTGCGCCAAAATGGCAAGAAACGTTGGCATATTGAAAAGTTCACAGAATGGATATTAAAAGTATTTATAAAAGATATACGTTGATAAATCATGGTTATAGAAATCACTTTCCTATTCGTAAACTTTTGAAAATTAAAAAATAAATAAAAAAAGAAACAATCCAATACCCATTGTCAAATTACTTATATAAAAACATATTGTCATCCTTTTCATTACCTTTAATAAAACAGAGACAACGTGTTTTATATCAAATATCAACTGTTTCAAACTGTATTTATCTTACTAATATTATAAATGCGAATGTTAGGATGGATGGATGTTTGTTAGAAGGTATCTCCAGAACGGCTGCATGAATCTCGATGAAACATGTCATAGATGTAGGACATAGTCTACTAATTAAGTTTTTTTTTAATTCCGCACGGAGGGAGTCGCGGACGAAAGCTAGTAAAAAGGTATCAATATGGCGACTGTTTTTACATTTCTTATGCATTTATAACTAACTAGATGTCGCCCACGACTCCGTCCGCGCGGAATTAAAAAAAAAACTTAATTAGTAGCCTATGTGTTTTTCCAGACTCTGTTCTACATCTATGCCAAATTTCTGCAACATCCATGCAACAGTTCTGGAGATACCTTCAAACAAACATACATCCATCCATCTAAACATTCGCATTTATAATATTAGTAAGATCGACTTATTTTGTATGTGACTGTACATTAAGACAAAGCACACAAGGGCGGGGTTGTTTTCCAATTATATGTACAGTCGTGCACACGAGGCATTGTCTCAAGCGTTGCCTATTGTGATGCACGAGTAGCCCCGCCTAATTACGTAGGCTATGCTCGGATGATCCGGTCCGCTTCCTGTCATATATGGGATAGGATACTAAACATCCATTTAACTCTTTTATGAGTGCAATTTAAATATCGGGTTTTTCCATAAGTAACACAACAATTGATGACCGTAATAAGTGAACGCTAGTCAATAAATAATTCCTCAATTTATCGAAAGGGTAAGCAAAAACCGATCTACTTTTCGCGAGGATTGTACGG